TTTTGTCCAGAGCTGGATCAGCGTGTTTTTCCCGGAAAGGGCGCCGGCCCAGGGTTCTCTTTTAGTGGGTTTACCCCCGGGTCTGACGGGAAGAGGGCTGGCGGATTTCTTTTGCGATAAATAACGGGTGGGAAGAGGGCTGGCGAAATAAAATTTCAGGATGTCCTTAGCGAAGCGCTTGTTTTTAATACTTTGTTGAGGATGTCTCTAGCGAAACGCTTGTTTTGTGTTATAGATTGTCCTCTCCTGGGGACCTGAATTCAGATGATCTCTCAAGTGAAATGCTTGTTTTCACGTGCCCAGGTCTTGAGGATGTCTCGAGCGAGACGCTTGGTTTCACGCCTCCAGGTTGCCCAGACAGATGTCTAGCATGAGGATTTGTTGAGGATGTCTCGAACCAGAGGCTTGTTTTCACGTGTCCAGGTCGCCCAGGCGGATGTCTAGCATGAGGATGTGTCGAGGAAGTCTCGATCGAGACGCTTGTTGCACGTGTCCAGGTTGCCCAGGCGGATGTCTAGCATGAGGATGTGCTGAGAACGTCTTGAGCGAAACGCGTGTTTTCACGTGTCCAGGTCGCCCAGGCACAGCGCAGCCCTCGGCACGTTACATCAATATCGATACCTTTAGCATTGCGTGGCACGCTCCGCGGAACATCCCGTGGCGAACCCCCTTCTGGCACATCGCGCGGTGCACGTCCATTGGCACGTTCCGTAGCGCGTCCCGTGGGCACGTCCCGCGGTGCGTGCCCATGGCACGTCCCCTGGCACGTCGCCTGGCGCGTCCCTTGGGACGTTCCGCGGCGCGTCCTCCTAGCATGTCCTTTTGTCAATCAGCTCAGGGCAGCTACCATTTGTTCAAGCAGCTCGAGCTTAAGAACCAGATCAGTTCGGTCAGGATTCGGATGCGAAGAGGATTCGATCCACAACGCTATAGAGCACAATCGCGGCATGGCACATCGCAGTTCAGCACGGCCTAGCACAGCACAACCGTCGGCACGGTACATCAAGATCGATACACTGAACATTGCTCTTTGGCACGTTCCTTGGCGCGTTCCGTGGCGAGTTCCCCTGGCACGTCGCGCGGCACGTCCCGCGGCACGTCCCTTGGCACGTTCCGTAGCGCGTCCCGTTGGCACGTCCCGCGGTGCATGCCCATGGCACGTCCCCTGGCACGTGGCCTGGCGCGTCCCTTGGGACGTTCCGCGGCGCGCCCTCCTGGCACGTGAGGATGTATTGAGCGAGGCGCTTGTTGTGTTATAGTGAAATGCTTGTTTTCACATACCCAGGTCTTGAGGATGTCTCGAGCGAGACGCTCGGTTTCACGCCTCCAGTTGCCCGGACAGATGTCTAGCATGAGGATTTGTTGAGGATGACTCGAACCAGAGACTTGTTTTCACGTGTCCAGATCGCCCGGGCGGATGTCTAGCATGAGGATGTGTCGAGGAAGTCTCGATCGAGACGTTTGTTTGCACGTGGGTTGCCCAGGCGGATGTCTAGCATGAGGATGTGCTGAGAACGTCTTGAGCGAAACGCGTGTTTTCACGTGTCCAGGTCGCACAGGCACAGCACAGCCCTCGGCACGGTACATCAATATCGATACCCTTAGCATTGCAGTCTGGCATGTTGCTTGGCACGTTCTGCGGAGCGTCCCGTGGCGAGTCCCCCTGGCACGTCGCGCGGTGCACGTCCACTGGCACGTTCCGTAGCGCGTCCCCTTGGCACGTCCCGAGGTGCGTGCCCATGGCACGTCCCCTGGCACGTCGCCTGGCGCGTCCCTTGGGACGTTTCGCGGCGCGTCCTCCTGGCATGTCCCCCTGTCGATTAGTTTTGGGGCAGCTACCATCTGCTCAGGCAGCTCGAGCTTTAGATCCAGATCAGTTCGGTCAGGACTCGGATGCCAGGGAGGACTAGATCCACAACGCTATGCACGTCCCGCGGCACGTCCATTGGCACGTTCCGTAGCGCGTCCCCATGGCACGTCCCGCGGTGCGTCCCCATGGCACGTCCCCTGGCACGTCGCCTGGCGCGTCCCTTGGGACGTTCCGTGGCGCGTGCTCCTGGCATGTCCCCTCTGTCGATTAGTTTTGGGGCAGCTACCATCTGCTCAGGCAGCTCGAGCTTAAGATCCAAATCAGTTCGGCCAGGACTCGGATGCCAGGGAGGACTCAATCCACAACGCTATATAGAGCACAATCACGGCATGACATATGGCAGTTCAGCACGGCGTAGCGCAGCACAGCCCCCGGCACAGTACATCAAGATCGATATAATCAGTATTGCATTTGCCCGTCGCTCAATCAGGTGTCTTTGAAACGTTGCCATGCCTTACATGTCTATATTCCTTTCCGGGTTCGCGGGTCGATCATGTTTTGTTTTTTCCCGGAAAGGGCTGGGGCCCAGGGTTCTCTTTTAGATGGTTTACCCCCGGTTTCGACTTGAAGGGGGCCGGCGAAATTATTTTGCGTAAATAACGGAGTAAAGTGCTATGTTGTTTCGAAAAAGTGTGTTTCGTGCGTGCCCGCTCGAGGAAAGTGCGCCCCCCAAATGGATCCTCGATTAAAAACGGTGTCCGCAGACCTCCGTTTTCCCTAGTAAAAAAAGGGTGCGGAGCGTTTTTGCGGAATCCTCCACAAATAACGGGGTCTGGAGCCCCGACCGCGACGCGGAAAAGCGCCCCGCGCGCAGGAATTCCGAGGATGTCTCGCGCGTGCCGCGTCCCGCGCGCAGGAATTTTGAGGATGTCTCGACTAATTCGCTTGTTTTGTCAGGATTTTTTAGAATTTTGGTAGGATGTCTCGAGCAAGACGCTTTTTTTACATAGTTTGTTGAGGATGTCTCGAGGGAAACGCTGGTTTTGCAAAATTTGGGGATGTCTCGAGCGGGGGCCTCGTGGGGGGCCAGAATTCAGAGGATGTCTCAGGCGAAATGTTTGTTTTCACGTCCCGCTCGCAGGAATTCCGGGGATGTCTCGCGCGTGCCACGTCCCGCGCGCAGGAATTTTGAGGATGTCTCGACTAATTCGTTTGTTTTGCCAGGATGTCCTTGGATTTTGACCGGATGTCTCGAGCGAAACGCTTGTTTTTCATAATTTGTTGAGGATGTCTCGAGCGAAACGCTGGTTTTGCAAACTTGGGGGATGTCTCGAGCGGGGCCTCGTGGGGGGCCAGAATTCAGAGGATGTAGGAAACACGGTTTTTGCAAAATTTGGGGATGTCTCGAGCGGGGGCTTCGTGGGGGGCCAGAAGTCAGAGGATGTCTCAGGCGAAATGCTTGTTTTCGTGTCCCGCTCGCAGGAATTCCAAGGATGTCTCGCGCGTGCCGCGTCCCGCGCGCAGGAGGATGTCTCGACTAATTAGTTTGTTTTGCCAGGATGTCCTTGGATTTTGACCGGTTGTCTCGAGTGAAACGCTTGTTTTTCATAATTTGTTGAGGATGTCTCGAGCGAAACGCTGGTTTTGCAAACTTGGGGGATGTCTCGAGCGGGGGCCTCGTGGGGGGCCAGAATTCAGAGGATGTCTCAGGCGAAATGTTTGTTTTCACGTCCCGCTCGCAGGAATTCCGGGGAGGTCTCGCGTGTGCCACGTCCCGCGCGCAGGAATTTTGAGGATGTCCCGTAGCGCGTCCCCTTGGCACGTCCTACGGTGCGACCCCATGGCACGTCCCTTGGCACGTCGCCTGGCGCGTACCTTGGGACGTTTCGCGGCGCGTCCTCCTGGCATGTCCCCTTGTCAATTAGCTCTGGGGCAGCTACTATGTGTTCAGGCAGGTCGAGCTTCAGATCCAGATCAGTTCGGTCAGGACTCGGATGCAAAGGAAGACTCGATCCACGACGCTATAGAGCACAACCGCGGCATGGCACATCGCAATTCAGCACGGTGCAGCACAGCACAGCCCTCGGCACGGTACATCAAGATCGATATAATCAGCATTGCACTTGCCCGTCACCCAATCAGGTGTCCTTGAAAACGTTGCCATGCGTTACATTTCTATATTCCTTTCCGGGTTCGTGGGTCGATCATGTTTTACATAGTTTGTTGAGGATGTCTCGAGGGAAACGCTGGTTTTGCAAAATTTGGGGATGTCTCGAGCGGGGGCTTCGTGGGGGGCCAGAATTCAAAGGATGTCTCAGGCGAAATGCTTGTTTTCGTGTCCCGCTCGCAGGAATTCCAAGGATGTCTCTCGCGCGTGCCGCGTCCCGCGCGCAGGAATTTTGAGGATGTCTCGACTAATTCGTTTGTTTTGCCAGGATGTCCTTGGATTTTGACCAGATGTCTCGAGCGAAACGCTTGTGTTTCATAATTTGTTGAGGATGTCTCGAGCGAAACGCTGGTTTTGCAAACTTGGGGGATGTCTCGAGCGGGGGCCTCGTGGGGGGCCAGAATTCAGAGGATGTCTCAGGCGAAATGTTTGTTTTCACGTCCCGTTCGCAGGAATTCCGGGGATGTCTCGCGCGTGCCACGTCCCGCGCGCAGGAATTTTGAGGATGTCCCGTAGCGCGTCCCCTTGGCACGTCCTACGGTGCGACCCCATGGCACGTCCCTTGGCACGTCGCCTGGCGCGTCCCTTGGGACGTTTCGCGGCGCGTCCTCCTGGCATGTCCCCCTGTCAATTAGCTCTGGGGCAGCTCTATGTGTTCAGGCAGCTCGAGCTTCAGATCCAGATCAGTTCGGTCAGGACTCGGATGCAAAGGAAGACTCGATCCACGACGCTATTGAGCACAACCGCGGCATGGCACATCGCAATTCAGCACGGTGCAGCACAGCACAGCCCTCGGCACGGTACATCAAGATCGATACAATCAGCATTGCACTTGCCCGTCACCCAATCAGGTGTCTTTGAAAACGCTGCCATGCGTTACATTTCTATATTCCTTTCCGGGTTCGTGGGTCGATCATGTTTTTTTTTGTTGTTCTTTCTCTCTCTATGTATATGTGTGTGTACTAAGGCCGAACCTGAGGCCGAGCCTGAGGGAGACGAAGATAGTCGAGAGGAGCTGGTCAGGTTCTGGAGCCCTGCCTGGGTGGACGACTGCGGCCCTCTGCCGTGTGCCCGAGAGGCTGGGCGACGTCGTCTGGCGCCGCGCGCCCGAGAGGCCGCCACCGCCCCCGCTGGTGGAGGAGCAGCTGGTGCGACTGCCCCACTCGCGCCCGAACGTGGGACGACGAGCCCCTCGGGCTCGGATGTCCAGAGTGGCGGCGCTGAGGGTGACCGCCCACGGCGCCGAACAGAGAGGCGGTGGCACCAGCCTCGAGATGCACGCGGTGGCGCCAGGGACCAAAGCACCAGTACACGAAGATGTGGGAGGACCTCCAGGCGTGGGCGGAGCACCACATGCTGCCCCTCGCGCCGCCCAGCGCCCTGGACGGGACGCTCGCGGAGTACCTGGAGTACCTGTATTTCGAGGGCCACGGCGCAGGGATGGGCACGAGGCTGATCGCGGCCGTGGGGTTCTTCAACCCCGAGGTGTCGCGCCATGCGTCCTGCCGGCTGCCACGAACGCGACTCGCCGCGCAGAGATGGTTGCGCCTCTCGCACCTGCGCGCGCGGCTGCTGATCCCCCTGGAGGAGGTGGCCGCGATCGCGGTGACTATGTGCGGGCGCGGGGAGCGGCGGGCGGTTGCGGGAACGCTTCTGGCCACGATCTGCTACCTCCAACCCGGGGAGCTCGCGGTGAAGTTCCGAGACTTGCTGCCGCCGGGGGGCCTTCGCGGGCGAGGGCCATGCCTTCTGGGTGCTGCAGCTCCACCGCTTCGAGGAGGGAGAGCCCTCCAAGACGGGGCGGTTCGACGACTCGCTGGTCCCCGACACGAGGTACGCAGCGCTGTACACGTACATCGGCTTGCTGAAACGGACGGTACCCGAGTCGGAGCCGCTGATCGGCATGGGACAGCTCGAGTACAGCAGGCTGTTCAGCGACGTCGTGCTGGAGCTGAAGCTCAACGTGCCGGGCCCTCCATTGCCATCCCACTTACGGCATGCAGGCGCGTCGGACGACCGCGCCAACCTCGTGCGCGGACATCAAGAAGAGGGGAAAATGGTTGTCAGACGCGTCTGCGAGAAAGGAGGCAGACTTCGAGAACAAATGCTACGGCTACCTCCAGCGTTCCAGGCGCATTGTCGAGTCTGCCACCACACGTTCGGCGAGATCTTCCTCGGGCGAGCCAAGCCGTTGTCAGTGCCTCGACTGTTCCGATGAGCCCGGAACCGCCACCAGTTTTCTTGGAAATCTTCTCAGGCAGCGGACACCTCGCCCGCGCTTTTGGCCGAAGAAATTGGCTTTGCATCGAATGGCGCATCACGCGCCACGGAAAGTTCTCACCCACCAAACGCG